TATCCTCTTCAAATAGTAAATATGTATCATGTAGTCGGGTTTTCCATCCTAGAGTTGTACTTCGTAGTTTGAACTGACAAGAAATATTAAGATTGTGAATTTAAGGTGAAATGAGACAGAAATTGTTATTGGTGAAATAATATATGGTTTGGGAAGAAAGAAATGTTTAAATTGAACATGGTAGACCACACATTTGAAAAGAGATAATTTTCTTTATCGTTAACCTAGTGATTAGCAACCATAAAAGGTATGAGAAGCTAGGCTATATCATAAACCTTGAAAAAGCAAAGTAGATCACACTTTTTCAGAGTCACGTATTTTCTCTAGCCAAAGGTTGTACTTTTTTTTTTTTGGCCAAAGGTTGTACATTTGTATTAATTTTCATATTAGTCTAGGATATTTCTCAAGTCTAAGAGTTAACACTTTCTAGTGCCATTTTAAACTCAGCAAATCTATTTAATTGGCGAGGTAGCAGGAACGAATGATTTGATGTTGTCTTGGTTACTTGTACTGCTGATAATCACTTCATCCATCATCTTCTTGGGGTCAATATGAACAATGAAAGAACAGTAGAAGGTAGTTGATGCTGGTGAGAAGTGAACTCATGATCACTTCCTTCAGTGAGACAATTTTTTTTTTTGAACGTCTTGCTTTATTAACTTGAAACAGGGATTACAAAGTTCATACAGATACAAGTACAACCAATACATTATCCAAATTTAAGCACGACAACATATAAACGAATAAGTGAAAATAACACTACTTCTTTTAATAGGTAAGCTTTACGCGCTAACAGAATAATAAATCTGCTATTTTCCTTGTTCGTTGTTGTCTTCGGTCTAATATGATCTTCATGATTGGCTATCATCGTTTTGATGAGATTCCAATAATTTTTTGAGAGATCAATGGCTGCAATCCATCTGTTCCATCGCATGCCAACCATCCGCCTCCCGCACCAGGAGATGATATCATTGATTGTATCCAATATCCATTGTTGATATAGTGAAAAATATTCCCTTAGTTTCTTCTTGATAGTCATCGCTTCAACGAATTCTGTCGCTGGAACAACAACGGCCTTCCACTGTGCTCCTCTTTCATCATTGGTATTAGAGTATTCTCCATTAGTAACAAGAAAAGTGGGAAAACAATTCCAACTTCCATTGTCGAAATCTGGAATTTCTTGAGGGAATTCCACCACGACCACAACCATAACCATAACGGATACATAAAAATTATGCATAAGGTTGATGGTTTTAAACTGTTACATCGGAGACAATATCGTCGCCGGAGAATAAAAACTCTACGATGAGAGACAACACGGTTACATTGAACCACTCAATTTGAAAGATAAACCACAAAATTAAAACGAGACAAATCTTTGTTATTCTTTCGAAGATCAGATGTACCGCTTGATCTATGATGTTCATATGTCTTGGCCGTCTGATACGAAGATTTAAGTGACGAGATATTGATTTGAAATCTCCAAAAACCCAAACTATAGTGATTTGAAATCTCCGAAAACCCAAACCTCAGATTTCTCCTCGACGGCCAGATTTCGTCGATGAGAAGAAGGTATGATCTCCTTCTCTGTTACCTGAGAGACAAACTGTCTTCTCTTTCTCGTATCACCCAAAGACATCTTATCAACAAACCAATACTTCTCAACAAAAGAGAGATCAACGAAGATTTTCAACCAAGAAGAAAACTCTTCACTTCGTATCCCTTGTGGTTTTATTTGAAAAAAAAAACAACTATAAAGAAAGAAAGAAACAGGAGTACAGCCGACGCCGGCCGGTGATATCGGAAAATAGTTGCAGATGAAGGAAGAAACCGTTCGGAGAAAACGAGAGAGAAAAAGCAGTTTTCTTTCAATTTATTAGCATTGGATTTTGTTTAGTGATTATAATCAATGAGACAATTTGTGATATTTTTTGTATTTGGCAAATTTGGACGTTTTGTTACATGCACGCTTCTGTCATTTGACCCATGAATTGTCATCCATCAGACACATAAGCAAGGAAGAGTTTGAAGATTTTCTGTCCATTAGTCGTCAGGTCTAGGAAAACATATTTTTCAAGGATTGCGTTTTCTGATATAACTTTCTTATAATTATTTATAAGGATTACGTCTTTTCGATATAACCGATTTATAGTTGTGTTCTATAATTGTTGTCTTTCAGAAAAAAAAAATTATAGTTATTTTTAAGGATTGCGGTTTTTTGATATAAAAGTATCTTAGGATTACGTATTTTCAAAAAACTGGTCTATGTAAAATTGCATCTTTTCTAAAAACTGAATATGTTTTATATGGTTGCATCTTTTTCAAAAGTGATTTATGGTTATTAATATATAATATGATTG